ACCCCCCCCCCAGACTGTCCCAGGTAACCCAGCAAAACACAAATCCCGCAGCATCGCGCCGAGTGCTTCCTTCTGAGCACAGCCCGGGGACTGCGTGTTGGGACCTTCTCCTGGAGCAGGCGGTGGGAGGGCAGGGAGAGGGGCCTTAACCCCCTGTATTAGCCCGCCTCGGGCTGCCACCATGGGAACCACAGACCCGGATGACTTAACCAGCAGAAATTTGTTTTCTGAGTTGGGGAGGCTGGAAGTCCAAGATCAAGGTGCTGAGAGGGTTGGTTCCTGGGGAGGGCTGTTTTCTTGGCTTTTAAATTACCCTCTTTTCACTGTTTTTACTGACCTTTCCTCTGTGCCTTGGAAGAGGGAGGGAGAACTCGGTGTCCCTTCCTCTTCTTACAGGGACACCAGTCCTATCAGATTAGGGCCCGCCCCTAAGGCCTCCTTTAGCCTTAATTACCTCCCCAAGAGCCCCCTTTCCAATACACTCACAGGGGCGGTAGGGCTTCAGCCTGTGGATTTTAGGGAAACACGATGCTGTTCCTCACAGCGCCGCAGAGATCGTCTCAAAGTCTTTCTTCCGAGTAGTTTGCTCCACAGGACCCGCCCCGGCTCATCTCACGCCTTCACTGTGTTTCTGGCCATGTTCCTGGGCCGCTTCTGTTGCGGCACCTGAGACAGACACCCCGCTGGCTCTCTGCTTAACCCCCCGTGTCGCAGCAGGCCTGAGGGAGCGTTCAGAGCCAGGCTCGGGGAGCCAGAGCCTGAAAAGCCAAAGTAGCAGCGTTGTCTGGGCATTACACCCCTTCGGTGGCCACTTCCAGCTTGCGGCTGTGAAGATTTTGACAAGACGCCCCCATTGCCCCCAGACTTCTTAACCCCCCGGGCCTGCTGCCCCCTTGGCAGGCGCGTGCATGCTCCGGGGAGCCCGAATCCTGATCGCAGGGAAGGCGATGCATGTGACAGAAAGCAAGCTTTCAACTCCTCCAGGGCTCCGTGACGCCAACAAGATTGAGACCAAGTGCTCTTTATGATTTACGGCAAAGGATGGCGCTGGTAGAAATGCTTTGGTGTTGTGCCTTTGTCCCGTGCATAGGGCGACGTCTTACTCAGGAGGGCGTGCCTCACCCTGTCATCTTGCCTGTGACTTAGCAGAGTTGAGACGTGGGTATTTCTTATTCATTATAGGGCAGCCTAGGGTTGTACAGGACTCTTCCATGTTCCTTTACGTGGCCTCTTTTTCACATCCTGCAACCTTGGAGTAGGGTAGTCACTTCATGTTTAGAAAAATTAAGGAAAATAATTCAACCTCTCAGCCATTCTGAAAAAGATTTACGGCAGCCATTCATTTTGACACGGGATTTTTAGGAGCATTTTGTGATTTCCTAAGCCCCACCAGTAAACAGTTTCGACAAAAATCGAGAACTGAGCCAAAACGTGAGCTGTGATGAATGACAACATGACCACAGCGTTAATCTATTAATAGCAATAACTAAAAAAAAGGCAAAAGTCAGAAATTTTCAAGAGAAGCCCCATTTCACCTTCCCTGCGAACAACTGGGATCTGGAACTACTGGTTCTTTTTAAGTTCTGGACTTAAAACAACAAAACGACTTTCATAAATAAAATCATGCGCGCAGGCTCCGTGGTGCTCGGTCACCTCGGACTCCCCCGGCTGACGTTGGCATTGACTTGGCGGGTACGTCCCTGGGGTGCCCTTGGCCCTTCGTCCGCTGAGGTTATTGATTCTTTGCTGCCCCCTTTCTGTCCAACCTCAAACGCAGCACCGCAGTGAAGACACAAACTGCAGGGCTTCACGGGCTGAGAGAGCGTAGGTGACAGGACATTGCGTGATCCTGCAAAGAACATCATCACGTCGGAGGGAAACAGTCCACCCTCGCCGGGTGGGGTGGGAACCCACAGCGGGGCTCACCTTGCTTTGTGTGACTGAGTGTAATCATGGACAACTCGAAGCGTTTTGTTTTTGCACGAGGCTCTCCGTGCATGGCCATAGCGATCCCTGATAGCTAGGGAACACTCAGAAAACAGTCACGAATGCTGCAGATTTTCAGAGAAGGGTTATCTTGGTCCTCAGATAGGCAAAATTGATTGCCCGATGCTTTATCTCCTAACACCGGTCTCTCTTTCCCCCCAGGATGCTGAGGAGTAATCGCATCAGCTGTGTGGGGAATGACAGCTTCGTAGGACTGAGTTCTGTGCGTCTGCTTTCTCTGTATGATAATCGAATTACTACAGTTGCCCCGGGGGCCTTTGACACTCTCCATTCGTTATCTACTCTGTGAGTATGAAAAACAGTCTTCATTTGTGTATTACTTGGCCGCTGTACTACATTTATTACTTTCATTGATAGCATTTTAATGCATTGTTAAGCGTTTCATAAAAATGCGATCCAGGATTTAGGTGTGTGTTTTTCTAAAGGCAAATTTGTTCAAGTTAAATTTAACTTTTCTGAAAAGATTACCTACCGTTTTATATGAAAATTTAACCGAGGTCTTTAGTATTGTTCGATCCGTTCTTTTTTATAATAATGTGCTTTGGCTTCATTTATAAATTTTAATTTTATTATAACTTGATTGTGCTGCAAATAAAAGTTATAGATTTTCCCTCAGTCTTCTTGCACTGGCATCTTTTCAGTGTAAGTTTCATAAAAACGGGGTTGATAGGGTTATTGCCACCACGCGATGCTCAAAGGGTCATTCACAGTGACAGGGGCTGCATTGGGATGACCTGACCAGCAAGAAGAGCTGCTCACTAGAGGGCATTTGCTATGATACTAGGAAGATATTGAAGAAATAGGCTGAGCCTTTCCAGTAGGATATTTTCTGCAGAGTTTGAGAATAAAGAATATTTGTAAGTCTAGACACAGAACTCAGAAAGTGTCAAAAAAAACCACAAAAACCCAACAACACCAAAAACCCTCTCCAAACAATGCATTTCAGGCATTTTGTATATCAGCACCTAAGAAGCAGAGTTTGAAAATATGAATCTTAATGCTGGCATAGTAATCTAACTCAAAAGGTAGTTAGAAAGAAAATAAAATTTAAAAAAAGCATGTTCGACATAGCTCAAGTCGTTGAAGAAATAATTTGAAGAAAGCATCCATCCATCAGTGAAGTACTTAATCTTCTTTCCACATAAAATGTGACATTTTACATAGGGTGACTAATTTGTGCATATTAAATATGACATGTTTATAAATAATGGGATTGTCGATAGGTTTGTGCTGAAGTGGTGAGATGCCAAAAGTGTAGAGATTTGTAGAAGTAAATTCATTTTTATAACTGGCATTTAATCAACTCAGCTGTCAGTTTCGATGGGAAACCTATTCTCCGGAGCAAATAAGAAATGGAAATCTTGAAATGACAAATTAATGAAATAGCTGCTGTCAGGTTAAACTCAATAATATAAGGTAATCAGCCTTCATCTTTATATTAAGTTACTGCATTATCAGGGTAGGGGAGTCGGACAGCAACTCAGATCTCGGACAAGTTTAAATTGTCTATAAATGAGGTATCTCCCAGGATCCACTACCTAAGCACTAAATTGCTGCCTTCGCTTCATTTTTCACATGAAATTATTTGGAAGATTCTTGTGTGAAAGTGTTGTGATTTTGTAAATTTCACACGTAAACATTTTAGCCAAAAAAAAAACACAAAAAAAGTGCATCCCAAGCATGGCGGTTGAGTATGAACCTGGGGCAGACGGAGAATGTGAACCGGGGGAACCTGTCCTATGGAAAGAGAGTGGCGGGTGGAAGCCTGGGGCTTTGAGGAGCAAGAATCTGAGACCCTGACCAGCTCATCTCTGCACTTTGCTTGTGACACTTAGAAACCTGTTGGCCAATCCTTTTAACTGTAACTGCCACCTGGCGTGGCTGGGAGAATGGCTCCGCAAGAAAAGGATTGTGACGGGCAACCCTCGCTGCCAGAAGCCCTCCTTCCTCAAAGAGATCCCCATCCAGGACGTGGCCATCCAGGACTTCACCTGCGACGACGGTAAGGGCCCCTGGCCCAGCCTGCGGTCCCCAGGCCCGGTGAGGGCTCTGGGGCTGCAGACCAGCTGGGCAGCGTCAGCCCAAGGGCGTCCTTGTGCGTCTTTTTGGTTGTTCTGTTATGTTTTAGTAACAGGACGCTTTCTTTCTCAGGCTGCGCTTTCCTATCCAAGTCTATGTTGTGTTTTTGGATATTTTACATTTTCCAGTTTCCAGCTGGTGTTTGATGCTACTTTACAACTTCGTGTTATCCTAAGCTCCTCTTCTAGTCACTACCATTTCCAAATGAGAAAAGCAGTTGACTTCTAAAGTGGGAATGCTAGTAAATCTAACAAAAATAATAGCTTTTACTGTTTAATGCACTCTCTGCATCATCGCATTTGATTGGAATTGCCCTGTCAGGTAGGTGAAGCCGGGTCTATTGTTATTGGCAGTGAATGCAGAGCTTTTATGAGCCCTGTACTTTAAAATGAGGGACCCATACCATTTTTGCGAAACATTTGATATTACTGTCCCTTTATGTCCCTTCATGTCTATCTCCTTACAATTTATCTATTATTCAGTTAACATTTATATATTCTGATTAAAAGTATAATTTATATAAATAACTGTACAAAGACAATAACTATTATCATTGTATTGATAATAAAGATGGAACACCCTTTTCTGGAATTCTGCCCTAGGCTGCCTGAAAAGGGTGCTATAAAACATGGTGTCAGTCAGTAAATCCTTACTGCCCTATACATCAGTGCTCATATGGCCCGAGATTGGTGCTTGTTACGTCAATTTAAAGGCATAAAATCACTCCAAATATCTTCAGAGCTGCAAACCTGGGTTTTCTTGTATGTCTTTGGCAATTTAGGAAATGACGACAATAGCTGTTCCCCACTGTCCCGCTGTCCCACGGAGTGCACCTGCTTGGATACGGTGGTCCGATGTAGCAACAAGGGCTTGAAAGCCTTGCCCAAAGGAATTCCAAGAGATGTCACTGAATTGTAAGTAAAGCTTGTCTTTCTTTTTTCTGAATAATTAATATTCCACACACCAAGGGAAATGGACACCAAACAAAAGTTTTTAGAGGCCTGTTTGCAAATTCTATGGGCCTTTAATTAGTATCACATAAAACCTTAAACAAATAATACAAAAGCTAGTTCAGATACCCTTGGGAAATGCTGTATGTGTGTGTTTCTCTTTTTTTCACTGCAGGATTTCTCAGTGCCTTTATTATGCTAAGTTGCACTGTGGAGCTCCAAGAGGGGATGGTAAAGTATAAGGTAGCTCCCACACTTATTGGTTCCTACAGTCCTTTGCTCATGGAGTATCTTGCAAGACTAATGTTCCATCCAGTGCACCTTGGGAAATGCTGTATATTTAGTTTATCTACAGTGCCTGGATATTCCATATGGTTAATTACTCCTTACCACTGTATCCCTGGGGAGAACATCTCACCATATGGGATACATTAATATCTGGGGGAGGGGAGGTGGAAGAAACTGGCATAATCCTTAAAAAGAAATACGTGACTGCCCTTTGGACTTGAATCAAAGTCCTTCAGTTTGTAAAGGGTGTGGGGCCAATTATCTCTAACATTTCCATTTCTGACATTTAACCACAAATTACATTGCCAATACACACATATCCAGACACTAAGCACTACCCACACCTCCTTAGCTGCCTCGTGCTATGCATGGGGAATGGAATAAATCAGAGAATGAGCTGCTTAAATAATCATGAGCCCATGCTCTGTTCCATTCCTTCCTCTGCGTGCGAATGGGCCAGGTACACATGCTCAGTGACGTGCAATTGATTCTTTTGGCCTCGTTGATTTTTGTTTGTATGGAACCAAATATCAAAAACAATTTAAATCCAGTGCTAACTCATGCAAACATGTACCTGCAATTAATGCAGCTGTGTACAAGCACTCCCAGTGCGCAGCTTGATCTACTTTTGGCAACATGGAACATACTTAATGAGGTTGAAGAAGATGCCACTTCAGTTTTCAAAAAATCTGTTCTCAGATCCTGTGCAGTTCCACGAATCCTAATGTGGTCCTGGATTGAACGCTTACACAAAAGTCATGCGATCTTAGCATATGTGCACAGAAGGTCGCTCTTGGATTTGAATAGTTGTAAGGTGATCAGTTTCTCTCTCTTACTACCAGTCACAGTTGTTAATTAACCATAAGCACTGCTTTGTGTGAGCCTGTGTGTAATTAAATACTTAATTCTCACTTTAATGTGTATTTATCTCAGAAGATTGCCCTCCATCCAGAGCTGGGGAGCTAGATGCCTGTAGAGCAGTCTGTATACGTTGATTCTAGGAGCCCCCAGTCAAGACGGTAGCTCTGAGCATAATGTTCAGATCGTCTCTGATGCTAAATCTCTTCTTTTACCATTTTAACTGGCCCATCCCTTAGTTGTTTTACCCGGTTCCCGTTAAATAATTTTGAACATTCTTTTTTTTTTAATTTGTTTTAACATTCTTCAATTTCCTTAATTAAAGCACATTTGAGATCCTGCTTGATTCATGTCCTTTCTATGCCATCTACGTGTTTCTTCTGTCCTATAGTCAAGTCTTAAATCTACTTCTCTATACATTTTTTAAAAGCAATATATTTGCTAAAGAAAATAGATTACAGAAATGAAAAAATGAACTCATCTCTTGTGAATTCTAGTTTTGCCTCCCAGAGAGCATATTCTTAGAACCGCACTGAGTCAGCAGTTATTTCTCTTTATAGTAATATATATGTGTGTATTAGAGAAATGTCACGTGCTTATTTTATTGAATTATTAAAGAATTTGGCGAAATAATATTTGTGGAACATTTTAAACAAATGGTATCTATTATTTTTAATCAGTTCCATATAATTTCCCTCTTAGATTGTTTTACTTGTAAACATCCATAGCACTAACATTCTCCTAAGACGTGTTCTGGAATGAAGGGAGAGAGTTGAAGTGTGTGGGATCATGCTGTCCCCTAGTGGTGGCAAGAAAAATTTAGCTACAGGAAAGAAAGGAAGGAGAGGGGCTGAAATACAAAGAAAATCTGAGTAGGCATAAGGGATCAATCATATCATGTGCTGGCTCTTAGTCAAATACTTATTATGTATTTTGGTAATTTGTGGCTGTTATATAACTGCCTTCATTTTGAAATAGTTAAAATAGACTGTTATCTTAGGCAATTTCTCAGCTACTGCTGTATCCAGCAAAAATACTGACCTCAATCTTGGATCTTAAGATTGCCCACAACACTGAGGCAGGAGGGCGGATCACATGCCCAGTGTGCCACAACTGATTGTGGGCACATCTATACCAGAAGACCACGTTAATGAAAGACATTTTTACCCCTCGCCATCTAGATTCTGGGAAAGAACAGCCTTGGGAGGAGAGGGAATTTATTCTCTGTGTGTGTATGTGACACCATGGATATAACTTTAAGCATTCCTTTACTTTCATGTCTTGCCAGTTAGTCCAAAACCTATCTATTTTCTAATTATTCTGCTAACTCTAATCAGAAAGGGAAAATTTACTTACGTGTGGTTATTTGAGTATTACTTTTGCATATATATGCTATATTTGTGCACTTGATAAATGGGATTTGCCAGGAAACCTCCTAAAATTAATATCACCAAGTAGATATACAGTGGTAAAAACCACTGTTAAGGTAATATTAATTGAAATCTAATTATGTTAAAATTCCCAAATATCTCCTTTAAACTACCCATTGTTGTTTACTAAGTATATTGATTATATTAAGGCAGTGAAGAGTGGTCTTGCCCTGGCTGGTGTGGCTCAGCTGGCTGAGCTTTGTCCCATGCACCAGGAGGTCACCGGTTCAGTTCCAGGTCAGGGCACCTGCTTGAGTTGTGGGCTCGATCCCCAATAGGGTGCATGTGGGAGGCAGCCAATAGATGTTTCTCTCTCCCTCTCCCTTTCTCTTTCTCTCTAAAATCAATAAAAACATTTTAAAAAAAAAAAAAAAAAAGTGTGGTCTTGCCCCCAGCAGCAAGGTTCTGCCAGCAGTGAATGCCTTTTGTGGTACTAGCTCCACATAAACACAAGCAAACTGGAGCTTGACTAAAAATGTGGTTATTTGAATGAACCTTCTTGCTGACCAAAAAATGGTTGGACACATGCCTGCCTTCTTAGATAACCACTAAGAACTGGGCTTGCCAGTCTCTCCTGAATTTTAGAATTTATCCCAAGTGACCCACAAAAGAATTCTACTGGATTGGACAAAGCGCTTTATTTTTCTGCCCTTAAATAGCGGTCTCAGCTAGTTACATGACATCTTAAACTCAGAATTGCCAAGTGCTTCCTTGCCTCCATTAAAAGTGAAATATTGTTCAACTATTCCACAATACACTACTGTTACTTTTTAAAAAATTCCTTTTTTTCCTTCTTTTCAGGTATCTGGATGGGAACCAGTTCACCCTGGTTCCTAAGGAACTCTCTAACTACAGACATTTAACACTTATGTAAGTAACGTACAGTGTGTCCCCGCCTTCGACTTCTTACTCTGTTTCAGGAGCATGGGGACAGCACAGGGCGGAGGGGTAGTGACCCTTTGGGGCAATAAAAATTGGTTCACAGGCAGTTGCTGCCCCTCGCCGCCTGGTTCTGGGTCACTGGCTCCATCTTCTCTGTGTATCAGGCTAGGAAAAAGGTCCTCCTCCCTTCAAAGTACAAATAGGATGAAGTCTTTGTATCAAAGAATTGTAAAAATGCAGTGAGTAGGATACCTCTATTGACAGTGAATATGGGGCACTTTATGACAAGCCAAGGAACGGAATATATACAATATTTTTATTCTTGACTTTAAGCAAAAGATAGTAGATGGTAGTGATCTTATTGGAAATATATTATAAATCTAGCTTATTAAGTTTGATTCTCTTATATAAGAAGTTATGAATTAAGTTATGGGTTTCCAGTATTCAAATTCATTTTATAAAATCCATATTTATTTACACAGTATTTAAGAAAGTGGGACAAAGCTGCTGACATTCTGAGTATAAATTTCAAAACACTGAATTTATTTTTAGTTTGGTTTGACGTCCTAAAATAATCTGTTTTCTTCATTAATGTATATAAGTTTTTTTACCAATTTAAAGTTGTAAATATAAGATTCTATTTAAGCATACAAATATTTCAATATAGTTATGTGCAAAATACTTTAAAAAAAATATAACCTCACCCTATATAATATCAAGCTTAGAGTAGCCTTGTCATGAATTGATAAAATTTCTCACAAAACAAAATATTAGTAACAATAGTGAATATAAAGGGAGGTACTTTATCGTTAGTTTAAGTCTATCTGATTTTAGAGTAAATAGGACTGACTTAGGAGGCAGATTTCTAGTATTCCTGTAATAAGGAGGTTTATTCCTAATTAGTGAATTCTAGAAACCGAGGTAGCAGAAAATATTGCATTTCTCAACGTAAACATTACCCCAGGGCAGCGATTTTCAACTGGTGTGCCACAAGAATTTTTAAAGCGTGCGCTCTCTGACTATTTAGTCAGGGGCACCGACCTCTTGACAACAGGCAGCACCGTCCTCGCCGTCGGGTGTGAAAGCATCAGAATTAACCCTTTTCTGCCCCGGCTGGTGTGACTCGGTGGCTAGAGCTCCGAGAATGTGCTTAAGTGAGGGGTCCGTCCAGCTGTGCAGCATGCCTCTGTGTGTGGGTGAGCCTATGTTCCCATGAAGACAGGCATGTGCAGCCGATGGAACTTTCGAGAGCAAAGGTTTATTTCCCACCCATACCATGTGTCCACTATAACCGGCCTCCGCGGGCCTTTGCTCTGGGACCAGGCGACAGTCGCAGGGCCTGGGGAAGGTCATAGGCCTTGCAGGAGAGAGAGGGGAGAGGATATGGGAGAAGTGGGACGAGCTCGCTCGCTCTAGATCCCTTGTGAAGTGAACCGGGCTCCCGGTGCCTGCAGCTCCCTGGCCAAAGCAAGACGTGTGGCCCCCTAACTTCAGCCGACCAGGCCTGAGTCCTTAGGAGCGACCTTAGAGTCTGCCCCAGAGGGCTGCCCGATGTCCTACTGTTTTCAGGTAGAAGCTGGGTGCTGACAAGGCTGCTATGACCATGCACAAAAAGACCTTCTCTTTCTATGAACTGCGAATACTTTGATCTCTGTGCTAACAGTAGCTTCCGTCTCTTTTCCTTTTCTCTTCTAGAGACTTAAGTAACAACCGAATAAGCACCCTTTCAAACCAGAGCTTCAGCAACATGACCCAGCTCCTCACCTTGTGAGTGCGAATGTGTGGTACTGAGTTCTCATTAATTCACCGGACAAAATGCATTTTCTAGGCCCTGGACATTCCTGGTCAACAAGACAGATAGCATCTCTGTCCCCGGGGAGTGTAAATACTTGCGAGAAACAGACAGATAATACCCTCAGTAAGCCAACAAATACAGACAGTACCAACGGTGTTGGCTTCTATAAAAGATACACAGAATATTTACGCCCGGGTGGGGTTAGGAGGGACCCTTAGCAGGCTTCCGGAGAAGCCGCCTTCAGGCGGGCATAGTGCAGAAGCTTTCCAGACTGGGTTTAGGAAATAAATAGGATGTTCCAGTGAAACAACACAAAAATGTTTAAAAAAATATTATGTGTCAATATTCTCAGTTTATAAGATGTTAAAATAACCCTTTTCTTAGCTGCTTTATTTTAAAAATGGCATTTGGCCACTTGGGGAGGCCTGAGAAAGACCAACTGGCTTGTGTGCTTTCAGGATTCTTAGTTACAACCGCCTGAGATGCCTTCCTCCCCGAACCTTCGATGGATTGAAGTCTCTCCGGCTACTGTAAGCATCTTATGTTCAATAAAGTAACTCTTTCCTCAGGGCTCCAGTTGTCTATTTAATGACATACCTGCTTTGTTGATCCTTGGGTGTTTTCTGATATATGCATCGGGATTTACTACAAATTTGGAAAATCATATCTCACTGCGTCATTGTCCAGCAGCTTTGATTTGGACGATGTAACTTTCTCTTCTATAGTGCTTCTTTTACTCCAGTTGTTTAATTGATAATATGTAATATTTAGAGGTCTGTTTCACATAGAGTCAACTAACTTTGAAAGAAATATAGGAAATTACATTTCTTTACAGATTGCTCAATAGGTGAATTTTTAAACATATGAAATAAAACACGACCCTCAAGCCCAATACCCTCCCAAGAGTTTACTGTTATACAGTTTGTTCTTTTCTGGCCCTCCTTTCTAGGCATTTGGTTTTATATTACGATATATGTATGCCCCCAGCTGTGTAAATTGTAAAACCATAAATGGGACTTGTCTTGTTCAGCCACGTCTTCACCATCACTCATTTTACTTCCAAATTCCCGTTACTCTGCCCGCCAGCCCGCAGAGCAGCCCGCACGCCGCTGTGGCGCAGGTGCGCTGGCGGCCCAGCGGTGGCCGGCGGGGCAAGTCACTGTCCCATGCGTCGGGGGGAAACCAGAAATAGCTGTCGCATTGTCCTTCACAGGAGATCTCGACAGTTCACACATTTATTTTTTCCACCGACTATTTAGCGGAGCACCTGTTTTAAAGCACTCTTGCAAATATTGAATGTCATCAATCCTCTCATTTTCGCCATACGACAAATGGAACTTGATTTTCCACTTCTGTTTTAATTTGCAATTCCAATGACGAGAGCATTGGAATATATTTTGTTTGTTTATTGAGCATCTGTGCTGCTTAGTCTGTGAGCCTGATCGTATCGTTGCCCAATTTTTATTGGGTACTTTGTCTTTTCCTGATTAACATACGTATCTTTATGCATCTACCACTTGACTCGAGGCTTGTAGGTCTTTTCACAAAGGAATTATTCCTCGTATCTTACGTACGTTGCAGATATTTCCCATTCTGTTCCTTACATGTAATCTTTTATAGCATGAATATATTGTACGTTGTCAAAAATGTGTCAGCCCTTTTCATTATGGCTTCCGAGTTTTATATAGTGCTTTTCTATCCTGTGTGTATAGAAAGGAGCTCTTCTGTATTTCGTCTTACTACACACTAGCTTTATTTTTACATTTAACCCTTCAGTCTAGAATTTATTGCATGCACATGACTTGAGGTAGGAACTAACCTTTTGCTTTCGGAAATAGATGCCCGGTTGTACCAGACTATTGAATAGACCATCTTGTCTGCACTGATTTAAAAATGCTTATTACCAACTGTAGTTTCCTACATGTGTGGGGATTTTTTTGAACTCTCTGAATTATAGAAAATTTAATTTTGCTTTTTCTTTTAGGTCTTTACATGGAAATGATATTTCTGTTGTGCCGGAAGGCGCTTTCAACGATCTTTCTGCATTGTCACACCTGTGAGTACCTAGTTCGTGGCAGGGGGTTAGGGTCGCACTGTCCCTCGCAAGCGAGTTTGGAAAACATGTCCTCTGCTGCCCCTTTTATTGTCACATCATAACATGTGATTGGTCCCATCTTTAAAGAAGATGTAAAGGTTTTCAGTCTTTGAACTTCCAGGAAATGTGGAGGTACAATGGCTGCTGTGACAGAGAACACAAAGAAAAACATTTCCCCCAACACGAGGGTTGGGCTATTGCCCTCTAGCACACTATAGCGTCTTGAACTCTAATTTATTTTTGCATGGTGCCGTAGTCAATGCTGAATAATATTTGCTAAATAAATGAATCCCGTGTGAGCAAATCAGGGCAGGCTTCGCGGAAGAGGTGGTACTTGGGATGTGACTTAGAAAAGTTGGGTTTGGGGAGACTGATTGGAAGGAGAGTGCATATTCTAGAATCGGGGGCATGAAGAGAAAAAGCATAGGCTAGGAAGCTGGGTAAGCCACGTTTATAAGAAGAAACACTTTCAGCTAAGCAAAGAGAATTCAAATAATGGGAAATAAGGGCCAAGATAATAAATTAAGGCTATCTTGTGGAGTTGGGCATTAAAGTTACACTAGAAAGTACTGTGGTTTTACAAGTACATTTTGGGGGGTTTCTAATAAAAAAGTAAAATTAATTTTGCCTAGACTATAGATCTAAAACATGACTAATCCTTAGTTAATTATCAATCAGAATTAATCAGTTTTTAAATGCCATTTACGAATGTCTAGTGCCCAAACTTGGCAATTTTACAAACCCACCAGTTAACTTCTTTGGCCTCAGTTTCTTAATCTATAAATGATTTAATAATAAAATTGACATCAGAGAGTTGGTGTTGTGGATAAAATGAGGTAATTCATGTAAATAAGTGGCTTAGCACAGTTCCTGCCTCTGGGATGACGTGATGAGTCCTGGCTATTGTCCTGATCGCTTTTCCTGTCAGTACCTTCTGTGAGTAGGAATCAGAGTTCCGAAATGAAGGCCTTTGTAAAGGGACCTTCATCCAATGACAGTCTAAATCAGCTTTGGAAACCTTTATGCCTCTTTATTATTTCATGCACTATCCTACCTTTGCACTTTTATACTTACTGCGTTTTTACCCTGAAATATCCTTCCCAGCCTTTCCCACCTACTTAAACCATCGAAAAGCTTAGAAACTCTTAACCACTAGTCCCCCGGAGAAGTTACCCTCTGTTCACAGTCATCTTGTAAATACTCCTCCTACAGCACTTCCAAAGGAAATTTAAGTGTATGTCTGAGTAGATGTTAATCTCCCTTGCAGAAGGCTTTCTTTGAAGTGAAGAGTAATGTGGTTTTCATATTTGGGTCCCCAGAGCCTCGCATAGGCATTGGTTTCTCAATAAGTAACTGGCGAGGGAAGGAGGTGTTGATCTGCACCCAGTACAAGCCTGTCTCTACAAATACCCGGACACTGTCTAAATTTCAGGGACTTGTTAATACTAGTGACAACTCACTAGATCTCAGTTGCACGCGTCATTCAGGAAAATGGGTAATCCCAGGGTCTCTATTGTCTTTGAAATTGTTTTTGTCAATAAATCTATAGGGAGTTTCTACTGAGCATCTCTTTATGTTCCCTTAGGAGCTAATATCCCCATGCTTTTTTGTGTGTGTGTGTGTGTGTGTGTGTGCGCACGTCTGTGGTGCTGTTTTTCAGGGCCATTGGAGCCAACCCTCTGTACTGTGACTGCAACATGCAGTGGTTGTCCGAGTGGGTGAAGTCGGAATATAAAGAACCGGGAATTGCTCGCTGCGCTGGGCCTGGAGAGATGGCCGATAAACTCTTACTCACCACTCCCTCCAAAAAGTTTACCTGTCAAGGTACGGTTCTGAATCATTTGTATTTCTGTAAAGAAAAATTTGCCACATCAATTTCAAAATAAAAGGAATACCATTTGCCACTAATTTTAAAGGGATAGCTGAAAAGCCCCAGTAACTACTTGCTGTTTCCACCCAGACGTGGGCAGGACAGAGCAGTTACCTGAGGCACCAAGTACAGAATTAGGCTTTTCAAATACACTGCAGAAACAGTCCACTGGAAATGACTGTTTCCTTTAAAATGCATGAAGAAGTGAAGAGCACACTATTTCTGGAAATTCCTCTCCTAGCCTCTAACGAGTGAAATATTTTGATTTTGCTTTTGCTTTGTCTGATCATGCGCCCTGCCCCCAGGGCTGCCAGGGCCCTGTGGCTTCCTGACGCCAGGTAAGGACATGAGCCCCGAGTGTCAGGCCAAACCTCCCCGCTGGCCTCGTGTGCTGCCCTCTTCCTGTGATAATGTGGCTGTTTCTTCCTGTTTTTATCCCTTCCCCCCCTTTGTTTTATGTATTTGTGAATCCGCAATAGCATTTTAGTAACAAATATTTTTTCTCTTATTATAAGAATAATATATGCCCAACACAGAAAAATCTAAATAACAAAATGTAAACAATAAGAAACATTTTATTTCTGCAAAACCTAAAATGAACCATTAATCCCAATACCTAGACATCACCGGTAATGAACTTGTTTTGTGTTTTTTTCCATGTTTACTAGTCAAATGTATGGACTTAGATCCCTTACCAAAAACAGGATAGAAGGTTACTATTACTCTTAATTTGTAGATATTCAAGAGGGCCACTCCCCATTACTAGGTGGAGAGAAATTCTTGAAAAGTCTAAATGTATAATCAGCAAAGTTTTATTAAATATATTTTATGTATAAAACTAAATCCCAGCCTGGCCGTGAGGATGGAATGGCTCAGTGGTTGAGCATCCACCCATGAACCAAGAGGTCACAGGTTCAATTCCCGGTCACTGCACATTCCTGAGTTGTGGGCTCGAACCCTAGCAGGGGGCGTGCAGGAGGCAGCTGATCTGATTCTCTCTCATCATTGTTTCTATCTCCCTCTCCCTTTCCCTTCTTCTCTCTCTAAAATCAATAAAAACATTAAAAAAACACCACACCTAAATCCTAAGTGTCCTGAACCATACAGAAGTTCATGCTACGGTCTTGCCTCCCAAGGCTTGCAAACCTAGCTGAAAGGATTGGCTTCCAAAGGCTGCTCATTTGGGTGGGAAAAACCGTATCTAAGGAGGTAATAGTGTGCGGTGGGTCACAGCGAGAGTGCGGAGGCCCAGCCTGGCCCACCCGGGCTAAGCCAGGTTCACTAGTCGTGGGACTTGACTAGTTTCGCTGCTCTGTGCTCAGTGTCTCATATGCAAGCAGAGGCGACGATGGTACATATCTAAGGGAGCTCATTAAGATTAGAGGAATCATTATATGCAGAATCTTTTTTTAAAAAAAAACAACCAATTTTATAGAAACAAAGAAGAGAATGGTTGGTTACCAGGGGCTAGGGGAAAGGGAAAACGGGGGGCTGTAGGTCAGAGGGTTCAAAGGTGCAGTCATATGGGGAGTAGGTCGTGAGGATGGAACGGTCAGTATGGTGACGATAGTGAAAGATACCGTGTTGTCCACTTGGAAGTTGCTGGGTAGATCTTAAGCACTCTCACCACGCGCAAAAGTGTTAACCATGTGAGGTGGCAGATCTGTTAATTATCTTAGTTCCACAGTGTATTTGTATATCTGATCATCCCATTGTACACATTAAATATATACCATTGTATTGGTCAGTTATTCCTCCATAAAGTTGGAAACAAAGGTTAGTTGAATTAATATATGTAAAACACGTTGCCTTACACACAGGAAGCACCCAGTATAGGTTAAGTGCAATTTTATTATTATAACACTTCAAAAGACCAACAGAAAATGATGAGGGACTCTATGATTTATTGATTAAAGAAGGAATTTTCAAAAACTATATACCCTTCCAACATTTTTAACTTGGCATCTAATGCTTTTTTCCATAGCTATAAGCGGTTGCAAAATATGTCATTTGCGGTTCACTGTAAAGTTTGACATTTTAAAAAAACCTACCTTTTCCATTATTCTTTTAAATGTGTCTGGGGGAGTCTCCATATAACAGCTAATTTTAAGAGACAAAAACAAGATCCTTCTTTTTTCTTTTTCCGTGAACTTCTGTTTTTCTCCTTGAATCCCTGTTTCCAGTGCATCAGAAAATTGTATCATTCCTTATTATAAAAAAGGTGTACGTCATTTGATTTTTAAAAATTTTCTGCCACCAAAAATCTGTGACTTTTTACATTTTTCTTTCAACTGAATTATTTCCATTAATACTCGAGCCATTGATTGGGACACCGTTGATTGGGACAGCTTAATTATTTACCCATATTTTAATATTGTTATTGAAAATAGAATTTTATTGGAGATGCCTCTCTGGGATTGTGCAGAGCCTTTGCAAATACGCAGTATTTTACATTGTTCTTTGGTGACTCCAGCTATTTCCTTGGGGCAGTGCCCTGGGGTGAATTCCTGGTGGGCTGAGAGGTAGACCGCTTTGTAAGGGAAGATGACTGTCAAAGGGAAGGAGGAACTGGTTCATAACTCTTATTCTAGGGATGTTATTGGGCAGAATGCTTGTAGAAAGATTGTATGGGGGAAGTTGAGAAACTGCAAATTGATTCTATTACACTTCTCTGTGCTCAAGGACACATACTCTGAAAAATGCTAGTGCTTATCTGTATTTCTTAAAGTTTAGAGTTTGCCAGAGATACTTTTGAAAAAAAAATTCATGATACCACAAATTTGAGCAAAGCTACATATTTATATTTCATCCTTAGAGCATCCTGGTTCTCATTAATTGATTAAATGTTCTCAGAATCCAAACACATGCATGTATAGATACATACATATGTACAGAAAAATCTTTTTAACTCAAGATTTATCTGATTTTACCTTTTTTGTTTGTTTCATGACTCTAGCATCTCATGTACTTAGTGTCCTTTGAATGGAAATGTGCTTGAGGGAAAATTGCTCTGTCTGTGTGATAAAGCTCTGTGCGATGATGGAAATGTTCTCTAGGCACCATAGCCGCTAGCCACATGTGATGGTTGAGCACTTAAAATGGGGTGAGTGCAGCTGAGGAAATGCATTTTAAATTTTATGTAATTTAAATTTAAACATAAATCGCCACGTGTGGCTAGTGAATTTCATATTGGGTGGAACAGTTGCTACAAGGGCTCATGTCACAGGCATGTGGCTGTGGAAGGTTCTGTGGTGCAGGTGTGTCTAAGCCTGCTGTTTGGACAAGCAGACGGCGCTGCTGCGAGCGGAACTGCAGGAGCATTGCTGCGCGGGAGCATTGCTGCACGGGAGCATTGCTGCGCGGGAGCATTGCTGCACAGGGGCAAAGGGCTGCATCTGTTCCAGGGCCTCCAGGAAACTGTTGAGCTGAGACTTAATTGACAGACGATTTAAGGGCTTAGATTTCTCAGCTCAGCTGTGGCAGCTTAGCTTAATATCCACTAAGTTATCAAATCAATGGATTTTATAACATTCAAGGTGTACCCTAAGCTGATAACCAACAGCATGCTGTGGACCAGTTGGCCAGCAGTGTAGACATTCAGAAGTCAGCGAGCATAGCGTGATTGCATTTAGCAGACTTTAAGGTGTACCTGCTTTTGCTATACCTTAATGTAATTAAGACTCTGCTAGTTCAGGATTTATAACAATTCAGATTGGATCTCTGCCCATAGGGCTACTACTGCTAATGATAATAACAATGAGCAGTTTGCATTATGCTGAGAATTTTACATAGATAGCTATCTCTTAATTTTTACATCATTCCTATTGTAGGTACTATTATTTCTACATTTGAGAGAAGAAAATACGGTAATGTAGGGAGATTAATTGATTCAGAATCACCCAGCTGCTGAGTGAAGGAGCCAGAATTTGGACCCTATCTGACTGCAGAGCTTGCCCTGAAGTTCACTTCCTATTTTTTTTTTTTTAAATATGTCTTTATTGATTTTAGAGAGAGGAAAGGAGAGGGAGAGAGAGAGAGAAACATCAATGATGAGAGAGTCATTGATCGAGCCGGCAACCCGGGCCTGTGCCCTGACAGGGAATCGAACCATGATCGCCTGGATCCTAGGTCGATGCTCAACCACTGAGCCACACCCAGCCGGGCCCACTTCCTAATTTTCAATAAAATTATTCTCAAAACAAATTGTCCATATAAATAAGATTGTGCCCCCCCTCCCATTATTGAAACATACTTAGAAAATGAAAGTTTGAACCACTCACATGCTGCCAGAAATATTTACATAGTAAATGGATTGGTAGGAGGCGAAGTAGCCTCATCTTTAATTAGATTAATTCAGAATAGGAAATGTGAGTGCTGTGGTTCAGGGCCCCCATGCTTTATAGGCTTAAAAGCAATCAAATGGTGCTTCTTAAATATTTTACACTTCGAATGTTTTATATTTTAATGAAACTTTTCCCGTAGTTCTATCAGTTTAATGTGTTTTATTTTATTCATGAAAACATGTAAGTACATACTCCTCATATTAAGGTTTGTAAATATGTAATTTCAAATTACAGCAAGAAGAGGAATATTCTTTATTTGAAGACATGTTTGCATAGCTGTATTTAAATATAACTTACGGTTTTTCTCTGCTGGGAAAGGCTGGGCTATTATTTTGAGTAATTAATTTTTTTTCACAACCATTTGTGTCCTACATTTTCAGAGTATTTTCTTTATGATTTAATCTCAGTTTCAGTGGAGCGAACTCATGAGCTCACAGATATTATCAAGTTCTTTTTGAAATAAATTTTTAAATTTTTTTTAAAAGGAAATAAATGAACTGGATGATACAGATTATCAGAGCATATTTAATTAATACCCAGATCAGAACATCCATGAGTGGGAAGCAGATGGACATAACTTGTCTTTGTGACTCATAGGTCCTGTTGTCAAC